CCTCAATTGATCAAATTGAGATTCTTACTTCCATTAATACGCTTTTTAGATATCGATTGAAGTTCGTTTAAACTTTCACAAGGGGCATATTCTGGCCTAGAGGGGTGGTATGGTCTGGCCCAGTTCGAGTTTAAACCCCCGAGGGTGTAGTTTACCATAGGACACTTTATCCCCCCGGTTATACTCTGGCCTGGGCCAAACTATACCCGGGTTTAATCGGGACAGGGGTTATTTTAGCCTGTTACACGGGGTCTCCCGTAGTTTCAACTCAGCACCAACTGAGTACCCCGGTGCGGTGCGTGAACATCGCCACTGGGGAGACAAAGGCGGCTGGGCGTGGTTTTGGCCAACCCATCTCCCCTCGTGTGCCGTACCGTGCAAGGCCTTCAAACAGCACTTACCCCAACAGTCTGTTTAAAGGCTACATGGGGAACCTTTGATGTGGTCGTGTGGGATATAATGAGGCTGCAATCCGCGTTGCGCGCACGACCTGTTTAACAAATCGTCAAAGCGGCGAGTGACGGCATCAATTTGTTCATTCAAATCAGGTGACCGAATCATCCGCCGTGCGCCCCATCTCGGCAGGCTTATCGCGAGCTTCAGCACTAGAGAGTGCTTGGATGGGCACCCGTGATGTACATAGATTAACTTTGCGCAAGAGCGCAGAAGCGTGGTCACCACATCTACGCCTCTATGTAAGGAACGAAACAGGTGGACTTCTCCACAAATCTGGCTGTCGCCTGATGCAGCTAGTTGTAATTACTGGCGCATCGTTGTACTCGGATTGTAAATGTTGTGGCTTGGCTCTCCAACACACCGCTGGTGCTGTACTCGTGACGAATTGGGCACGTTCTGTTTACGTGACAACCCTTACGATTTGGCTGTGTCGGGTGGTGGCGGGTTTTAACGAAACATTTTATATTTACGCGATCTAACAACCCCCCCCCCCCCCGAAAAAAAAACACTTATAGATGATATTGGTTGCGAAAGCTAACGTGTTAAACAAAAAAACGTGTTAAACAAAAAAAGTGTTAAAAAAGAAAATGTGTTAAACCAAAAATAAAGTGTTAAACAAAGAAAAAAGTGTTAAACAAAAAAAAACAGGTGTTATAGGCTGCGGCGCTCCTTGGTGGGCAGCAGAGGGCAGGGCAGCGCAGAAGAAGAAGAAAAAAAAAACCGACTGTTGTCCCACACTTGTGAGTTTTCCTTCGTCTGTGCGTGCCGCGTTCACCAACACGCACTGGCCAAGCGTGGATGCCTGTAGTGCAGTAACATAACCTCGTGCGGTTTGCAAAACAAGTATTGTGGTTAAAGCAGACATGATTCCTTGAAAAGGTTTCAGTTTGGTGTTTTAACATCTTAACACCTGTTTTGTTGGCAGAAAGGGGAAAACAACCCTATTATCAAGTGGCGTCTCGTGTGGAAATGTATAGCAGCCAAATACTCCAAAATGCGCGTTGATTCTAAATGTGGAGGTAAAAATCGGTTGACTCGGAGAAAAATCCACGCGACCACGAGGAGAGAGACACGCAAACTCCAAATACACAACAGGCGTCGTGAGGTTCGGTTACGAACCCACGACCTCCTGTATACCAGGCGAGGTAGTTAACATCTCGCCACCGAGGCGCGCCCATCAACTGTCATGTGCCTATTTATTTTGCTGGGTGGAAAGAGCGGGGGGGGGGCATCATACATAGGGCTGAACGAATTTGGGGAAAATATCTAATTGCGATTTTTCTGATTGATTGCGATTTGCGATGAAATTTGTTAAAGTCAAGCTCCAGTTCAATATTCACTGCGTAATAGGTTTAAAACATGATGGAGCATTACCACACGATACCATCAAAATATGAACTGCTCTATATATTCTCATGCAAGGATGATAAGTTAAAATATATGAATTGCTTCCACCATGTATTTATAAAAAAATATTGAAATAGAACGATCAAACATAGAACCATTGTTAAGTTAAATAAAGTTATAATAATAAATAATAAAACAATTCCAATAAGAAAGTAAAATCGCAGCCTTTGCGATTCGCTAATCGCATTGTTTTCAAAATTACGATTTCGATTTGAAATCGATTAATCGTTCAGCCTTCATCATTGCTAGTCCAGTAGTGCTATAACCATTGCACCACGGCAGCATTCCCACTGGGAGCAGTAAGAGGTCACTCATTCCCATTCTAATTGCCTCGCTGGGGCATGCAGAGTTCAAGCTGCGGGCGCCCTTCCGACTTAACCCCTGCGGTTACCACGGCGGGCGGCACCGAGATCCGTTTGTTATTGGGTCATTGCGCAATCAATGTTGTTGTTGTTGTTGTTCTTGTTATAGCGTTCCTTGAGTGGAGGCTAATTTGTTTTCAGGAGCCGATTCATTCAGAGATGTTTATACATTCGAAAGTAATGGCTGGCAACAACATGCAAGGCTCTTCTTGAGTACGAAAGAAAAAAAAGCTAAATTGTTACCGATGCGTAATGTATTTTTCATTAAGTAATGTAATGTTTAAGCTCTCATTGCCTCGTGTATCTTACAGTTATTTTACGAATTTTAATGGAATGTCAATCCATTGCTGGATGACAGCTACCCCGCGCGCTGTGTTGGTTATGGGGTGCGGCTTTTGACCATACTTCACCACGCCGGTCGGTACGGGTTAGTGTTGACCAGGACCGGTTCAGATATCAATCGCCAGCAATGTTAACCTTGGCGCGGAATGGGACCCGCCCCACCCAACGTGCATTGCTTAAACGGTAAAGGCGCAACACTGCAATTGTTTGCTCATGCCACTGCCGACGGAAGGAAGAATTCCCCTCTACCATGCTGGAGGGAGTTACCCACTCTTTACCCCCTCCTGCCGATCGACAGTGCTGTATACTGTACCGTGTACTGCTGGGTGGAGGGGTGTGGGGAGATTTGTGTGTGTGCTTTTTTTAAATAAACGTCCTCGTTTGTTTCAACTGCTGGGCCAGGAGATCGAATCGCCCACCGGGAGATCCGCATTGAGGCCACTGTGTGAACCATTAACAACGCCGGCAGCATGCGAATGAGATGATTACTTTCGTGGCGTGTTTTGTAAAATATCGTTCTATCTTTCGATTTAAAGCTTTCGTGACTGCAGGGATTCATCTTCTTGGTTCTTTCGGCAAAGTCACGTAGAAGGGAAATAAAGAAATAATAAAAATAAAACATAATAAAGTAATTCTCACGACGTTTCGGCCACAACGCAAGCAGCCGTCCTCAGGTGAAGAACAGGTCTGTCGGAAAGACAGACCTGTTCTTCACATGAGGACGGCTGCTTGCGTTGTCTGTCTTTCCGACAGACCTGTTCTTCACCTGAGGACGGCTGCTTGCGTTGTGGCCGAAACGTCGTGAGAATTATTTTATTGTTTTATTTTATTATTTCCTTCTACGTGACTTTACCGAAAGAACCAAGAAGATGATATCGTTCTATCGTAACGTCAAAGATAATGCATTTTATACTTTCTGGATAAAATATACATGAAATCATAAAGATAATATATACGTACTGTGTGGCTATTTCCCCACCATGACAATAGTACTTTGCATGTTTAATGGGTGTACCCATTTACACTGGTGGTGGACAGAGGCGAGCAGCTCAAAAAAAAACAAACAAACAAACAAAACTTGCCCAAAATGTTTGAGATGCCGGGCCAGGAGATCGCACCAAGAGCACCTCCGTCAGGATTTGAAGTCCAGTGCGCTCACAATTACACCACGGCAGCATTAAAATAACAAAACATTCCCTTGGCGCGTGTTAAACCTAAAAAAAAACCCAGGTTGTTATGATGTGCAATTAATTTATTGTTACTTTATTTCATGTTTAGTCTCCAAATTATCGTATCCTGCTGCAGTGTTTACGACGACCTCGCTTATTATGCATAACATAGACACGTGGGTTTCATTGAAATATCACAATGTGTAAAGTCGAGTTGTAATTAGGGGTATTCGGCATGACCGCGCAGTTTTTCCAATAGTAATTATCATTGTAAAGTAACCAAGCACCTCATTAAATTCCACTGACATTCAAATCCTCGGGGGAGGCTCTAATGTTACCGGGTGAGTGTTGATGTTGATACCCAAATAACTGGGATACAGAAGGACGTGGGTTCGATCCCAACCCTGGTGCCTGTATATTTGGAGTTTGTATCTTTCTCCCCGTGGTCGCGTGGATTTTTGTCCGGGTGCTCCGGTTTTCCCCTCCACATTTAGAATCGGCACGCGTGTAGAGTATTTGTCTGCTATAAATATCCACATTGATAGGCTACTTCGTTGAGCTATCATTTGTGGCCAGGTTGCTTCCGAAAAAGAATTACATAGCTCAGTGGGACTTTCCTGGTAAAATAAAATAAGTAATATTTACCTGGTGAAATTCCAAAAATAGTTAGTATTTCTAGACTTGAAGTTTTCGTGACTGCAAGGGTCCATACTCTTTGGTTTTTTCGGAAAAGTCACGTAGGTAAAAAATTAAATAAATTAAGTCACGACGTTTGATACAGTAATTTTGCTGTGACGGTGCCACCTGAAGACGGAAGCTTGTGTTGCCTCCCAAACTTCGTGATTTAATTTATTTTTATTTTATTTTTTACCTACGTGACTTTACCGAAAAACCCAAAGAGAATAGTTAGTATTTTGGTGAGCTGTGTATAATGCTCTGCTTATAATGCATTTATCGGGCACAATAAAGTATTTCGTTATTGCGTTTCACAGGGGGCCCATAGTTTGTGCTCTGACTCATAAAATCTGGAAACCCAGCAGCTGCTGTTTAAGTGACTCTGACGATGAGACCCAGAAGGTTGAAACCGATTACGACATTTTCTTGGTGAATCTAACGCTGCTGGATGACATTGATCTGCAAGGTGTTGTTGAAAGTGGGAGACAGAATGGAGTTTTGCTTATATATTTTTAAAAAGTGTATGTACGTTGCGCGCGTGTGTGTGCATACATATGTGAAAAGATTACACTTAACAAAGAAATACACAAATTAAAACTTTATATTTAAAATATTCTAACTGAAAATACATTCTGGCACAACACAACTGCATATACTCTATAAACCATGTCATAATAAATTGATGACGTACCTAGAACATCGACAAATAAACATTACAATAAACTTATTGAAATTAAAAAGATATAAAAAATATAGCAAGCGTAACAGATGACACCAAAGCGTACACACTGAAATTTAAAATAAAAGACGTCATGGCACAAACGTTCAACATGAGCGAGCGTTGACGGGTAATGATGTCACCCCATGCTTCACATCACCACCGTGTTCTAAGATTCTTCTCACCGTACATTACAAGATGCACTTAATCCCTCTGCATATGAAATGATCATGGGGTGGTGCGTCTTATAATCCGATTCAGAGTGTGTGTCCATATTTGTATAACTGTAGGCGTATTGACACCGGGAGATCGTTTTGGGGTTCGTCTTACACCAGGGGTCGGCAACCTACGGCTCCGGAGCCGCATGCGGCTCTTTACGGGCTGCTTCTTGACGATATGTACGTATGTACAGTATGTACTCAGATGCATTGCGGCTCTTGAAATACTGAATTTTGTACCGAATTGGAAAGAAATGGCTCTTCTTGTTATTTTGGTTGCCGACCCCTGTCTTACACGGTCCAAATTTTTCCAAATTCGAAAATTACTCGATTGGGATTACACATATACCCATCGTCACCACCCCACCCCAAAATCACTCTTGCAAACGAAGCTACGTTCGTCTGTTCTAGAGCTTCACTTTCACTTTCCGGAGGTCTCGAATCTGGAGAACGTAGTACATATACCGCACCATCCAGACGGTACGCTATCCAAAACGGGAATGCCCGTGTGACGGCTCTACACACCTGGTCTGATTACTTAGCGGGGCAGAGTGGGGGGTGGTTTGGACCCCCAAACTCTTCCACTCTATGAAGAAGCCAACCAGCAAAGACATTTGATCCGGAGGGTGCCGTCATAATTGCGGGTGTTATCTCTTCAGGAATCGCTGCGTTCTCTCCTTCCACTCTCTCCTCTCTACCCGAAAACACGTGACGTGCCTTTGTTCAAACGCATGCATTTTAAAAGCTCTCCCGATATCGGTGTGCGAGTTGTACAGCGCGCGTGTTCTTTTTACGCTTTCCGCCGGACTTTCGACGTTTCGCTGCGCGTCCTGGATTGCTCCAACTTCAACGTGAGCTGTTCCGACTCGGTTCGTGAACGACGTGTCAGCGAAACGTCTGACATCCAGAAACACTGAGCGGTAAAAAAAAAACGATAGAGGTTTGTATCCTCAGTACCATGTACTCATCATGCATCTTGTATGCGTGGCGGAGCAATTGGTTGGGGTGCACTAACGAACCCGGCCAACCGAGTTTGATTCCCGCTCCCGGCCAACAGCAGTAGCGATCATCTGAATCGGTCCCTGGCCTCCCCTAAGGTCGACTCGGCCTCAAAAGCGAGTACCTGGTTTTGTGATGTGTAAACATCGCCACTTGGGGAGACAAAGGCGGCCGGGAGTAGAGCTGACCCCCGCACCTCCACGTGTGCCGTGCCGGCCTTCATAGGTGCTGCTCGCTAACGGCACTTGCACAGACAGTCTACTACAGGCTATACGGGGGATCTTTGTCTTTGCAGTGGTGCAGTTGTTGGCAGAGTTCCCTCTGAACTCTGTGAACCGAGCTCCATTATCAGCCACGGCTAACATCCATTGATGAGCGATATCCAAACATTGGCAGTGGGCACGCAGAGAGTCACCAACCACAGCAATTCTATGGATTGTCACGATTCCGGCTCTCGACTTGACACAACAGTTGTGTGTTGCGTCTTCACTTTTGTATCGTTCTCCGATCGTCGCCGTCTTGTTCCTCCAGTTTTCTGTTTGTCGCTGTGGCGTTTACGTGGAACAATGCGAGCGTATCATTCACGTATAACGCAGAAATCATTCGCCGACTGTGGGATGGTATGAATCGATGCTTGTACCGTGAGAATATGACTAGAATTTACTTGATGACTTGAAAAACCGTTACACGCATGCCGTGAATAATGAGATTCGAATCACAATGCCTTACGCGTGCAGTTTTGCACTCTATTTTGGCCCCAAACTGACCCAGATCTGGATATATCAGTCGAGCGGAAAGTCCGATAAGATTCACCGGCTCTGGCACACATTGCTCGGCAGGGTGCGTGTACATATGTAGAACCTCTTTCGCGCCGTACAAATTGGAGATGTGGTGGGGGGGAGGACATGAAACTGCGTGCATGCCTATCCATTGTATGATATTGAGATGCAGCTCCAGTTTTGCACCGAGATCATCGGAAATGATAGACTGAATTAGCAGCTCCAGGGCCAATTATCATCCAATTGACTCGGTAAAGGGGTCGAATCGTTCACAATTATTGACATTGTTCACATTAAACTGCATATGATATCAACTTAAAATTGTACTTCTCGTTCCTGGAAACTGGTGGAGCGGTCTATGGGGAGATGTCTGGACGAAACATACATCGTACAAATATACATCGTACAAATATACATCGTACAAATATACATCGTACAAATACACAGACGTGTTATGTCGAATGCCTCCCGTGTGCCAAACTCATTGCGGCCATGCAGTTTTGTTTCTCATCGCCCATGCCGTAGTCTCATAAATAAAGTCGTCATGGAATAGAAAACGACAACAACAACAACAAGGAACCCCTGAAAGTTTAGTCGGCTTGACTCCGAGCCCGATGTGAAAAGACGAAGTGCTTATCGTTGATTGTGCGCACGCGAAGCATAGCCGCTGCACGACGGCCCACCTTGTCTGCTCGTATCACGACCTGACCTAGGAGGCGCACCTGAATTCATCAACGCGCTTTGCTGCATCGTGGTGATGATTTCGGACGTACGTAATTGTCCGTGCTTATCGCCCTATGGACTCAGAGTTCAATCGATCGTCTATTGTGACAGGGTTGCACGTGCTTGTGTCAGCATGCTGGATTATCGATTTGTTTTCTAAATATATCGTAAGAAATTATGCCTTGTGCGAAACGGGGTGGGCAGGTCGATTGCATTGCCTGGCGAGTTAACCCCTTTGCCGTTCGAAAACAAAATACCTTTAGGCGGTACGTCTTCGGCACGGAAGACGTACCACGGCTCCCACAAGGCCATGCGTGGGGGCACAGTTTGTCGCCAGCTATCGTAGAGCGCGGGTCGTGTCGCTACGGTTCTCTGCGACGAGACTTTAAGAACAACGGCGCAAAGCCTCTCTAAATAAAATTCACGCAAACCGCTCGCGTGTTCCGAGATTCGGCGGTGAACGGGACACCCACCCTGCAGCTTGCAGACCGTCTTTCGGAACGTGAAAGGGTTAAGACCGTGTTTGATTATGAAGTGTTGGGGTCATAATCGGCACGTGGTTTTTTAACGAAAATTTATATATATAAAAAAAATAACAATCGGCAGTCAGGCGTGGGGGGGCGGGGGCGGGGGGCTATGCCACTTATTTCCTCGAGGCAGGCATGGCCTGCTGCACGGTGGAGTACAAGCACTCGCTGTCACCGCTGACGGTGCCGATGATGGTGGCGTAGTGAACCTCCGAGCTGCTCCTCCGCTGCGGATCCTCGCTCTTCGCCGGCTGCAGCCTCACCTCGGCGTACGTGATGTGCGTCTGCGAAAGGCGACAATTGGGCAACTCAGCATTTGTTGAACGCGTTGGCCTTCGCGACCAATGTTATCCATAATAAAGGGTTTTTTTGAGGGGGGGGGGGGCGTTAGATCGCGTCCATTTTAATTCCGGTTGATCGCCTGATGAAGCTGGTTGTAATCACCAGCGAAACGTCACAGTACTCGACTTGTAAATGTTGCGGGTTGACTCTCCAACAGACCAGTGTGCTGAAGTAGTAACTAATACTGGTAGGAACCTCCTGGTTACACCAGCCCACAGGGGATTATTGTGTCCGTCGTGCCCGCCCTCACAGTCGGCCATATTTGCGGAATACACCACGCCGCCGTTGACCCTGGCCATTGACCGAGCAACCCAACGTTCCTACCAGTTCCCTCCGCAGGAATGTGTTTGTGTTTATGAATTCAGTGTTTGATTCATCGTGACATTCGTTTGTCATTATCAACATCGTCGTCAGTTGGTCATGATAAGCGATCCGCTGCTGGAACAAAGCAAGATCGTGATCCTGTAATGGAACCATCCACCCAGCGCCTTTGCGCACGAGCTGATTTCGCGCTTCATCTACGGTTAAAACCGGCGACTCGCCGAGGAGAGACCGCGGCCGAGAGCACATCCACCGCGGCAGATGGAGGGGTTAAGTCAACTCACGTGCGGGTACTCTATGGCATTCCATGTCGCAGGAATGCGAGAGATTGAGCGAGCAGTGGATTGAGCATCGCTGACGATTTTGACCAGAACCGTCCCCAGGTTATGGCGAATTGGCGCGACTGCCCTGGTCCCCGTGCTTTGGGGGGCCCACACAGTGGCGTTTTCTCCGGGCCCTGGTGCCCCCTATTGGCAGCCCTAATGATGATGACGATAAATCTGTTTCATTCACAGATAATCTCCCTGTACCGGTATTGCAACCCATGCACAAATTCACACGAAACTAATTAAGGCTTTCTGAAAAACACAACACAAATATAAACACCATGCATAGTGACACGTGCTACAAAGACAAAGATCCCCCGTATAGTCTTAACATGCTGTTGGGGCAAGTGGGGTTAGCGAGCACCTATGAAGGTCGGCACGGCACCCGAGGGGGTGGGTGGCCAGCACCACGCCCCGGCCACCTTTGTCTCCTTAGTGGCGATGTTTACACACCGCACCAAGTACAAATTTTGAGGCTCAGTCGACCTAGGGGAAGCCCAGGACTGGTTCAAATAATTGTCACCGGTGTTGGTCGTGAGTGAGAGTCGAACTCCGGTCGCCGGGTTCGTAGCGCGGTGTGCTCACCGCTATAAACTACCGCTTCCCAAACGTTATACTCACACAAGCAGCATGGCCTGTGCGTGTGTGTGTGCAGTCAACAACATAACACCATGACTCGATCACTTGCATCACCAAGCCTCTTGCTCATATCAACAAGTGTCTGGATTTAGTGGCTTATCACCTGTTGCGCCGTGTCCCCTGCAGTGTCAAAGCACTCAAGGGCTCGGGTTTTCATTCATCGGCCTATCGCCTTTCCAAAGCAATATGAGCCAATAGGCCTTTGACTAAAACACATTTTATGTGTACTTGGAGACGCAGAACGAATGTATGTTTATTTATTGGGCGGGTTACCCATAATGTTTCTTAATGACACGACGTGTGTTTGTGTACAAGTTTTCTTGCTGCTCAGTTAAGTGCTGTAGTGGAAGAGAGTGGGAGGGGGGGAGAGAGCTTTAACCAATTCCTTTCCGGTTGTGATTTAAGGTCTCTGGATTGTTGTTGTTATTGTCGTAGACTTCCGCCGTTGATGTTGCTGCTGCTGCTGTTTTTTGCTGACCTGCAGATCGGACGGATGGATTACTGCAAGTCCGAATTCGTGCTTGCGATGCAGTGAGCTAATATAGATGGGTCAAGGGGGGTCCAGGTCTGTCTGTGCTGGAGGTAGCGGATGAGGGCGGCAGCATTGATGGGAGCAATGTGCAATGCTTGCCCACGCCAAGTCATCCAGAAGTCGCCCAATCTTGTCAGATCTCAGAAGCTTGGATGCAGTGCCGGATGATCCTAGTAGCAAAAGTAGCTACATATGCTACGGGCCCCGCACTACAAGGGCCCCGCACTAAATGCTTTCTGGCTATCAATTCCGGTTCAGTGCTTCTGCACTTGCTCTATTACTATAGTACTAGACTGCCTTCAACTTTTAAGAACGACTGGGTGTTTAAGGTTAGCGATTTGTCGTATTATCTGGCTGTATAGCAAATGAAAAAATACAGTTACTTTACCATGCAAGTTAAACATTTAGGTGTTTTAATATTTGCGTGTTTTTTTAATTTAGGGCCCCTTTATAACATATGCTACAGGCCCGCAACTAGCTTAATCTGGCACTGCTTGGATGGGCGACCACCACGTACAACAGGTTGTGGAGCTAAAGTCTTTATACCCCGGTATTTTGTTTGCTATTTAACGGTTCTTTACTCCGTTTAAGTACCGTACATGCTGCAGCCCCTTTTGTCAATCCACCGTTCAGGGTTGTGCGGGGATTAATTGACCATACTTCACCGCGGGGGGTTAACGGAAGGCAGAGAGCATGTCGGCTTTAGGAGAACGCACAGAAGAGCCCTTTCGATGTGCCAGCACCAAACACTGGAAACGGGCAGCAGTAAATTGTGGCTTGAGCACACACGTGGCAGAAAGAAAGGAACAACAAATCTGTGGGAGCTTGTGAATGTTTCTCTCTTTTTTTTAAATAAGGGAAGCATACTTTTACGCCACTAAAACTGCTTGGCATAGTTTCAGATGTTATTCTTTCCAAAATTGGTCTTTGCATTTTTTTCAAACACCCCGGCGTGGTATTCGCACGTTTTGCTGCATTCTGTGACCTGCTGAAGAAAGCATGTCAAATATGTCCAGGTCACTTCTCCTTTGTGTATTTTACTCATCGATGGCAATGCCTCACTGTACAACAATAACAATGATATTTATATTATTCAATAAATCACAGCCATTAACCAATACAAAACATAATGAAGGCCTGCGTCACGGTGGCGAGATGTTAACTACCTCGCCTGGTATACAACCCCGACGCTCACGCCTGCTGTATATTTGGGAGTTTGCGTGTCTCTCTCTCCCTGCAGTTGCGTGGATTTTTCTCCGGGTCCTCCAGTTTTTCCCTCCACATTTAGAATCAACATCGCGCGTTTAGAGTCTTTGGCTGCGATACATTTCCACAGTGATAAGCCACTTCGTTGAGCTGTCATTTGTGGCCCATTTGTGGCCAAGTCGCTTCTGAAAAAGAACTGCATAGCTCAGTGGGCCTTACCTGCTAAAATAAAATAAGTAATATTTAAAAATACTTAAAAAAAAACACGCTTTAATGAAATGTACCCTACTCGTAATGGCAGAACTCCACGACTCCAGGAAGTGGCCCCGAAGCTTGCCACAACGTAAGGGGCCGTGGTGATATACAGCCAACGTGAGTTGAGCGTGGACAATTAGACCCAAGGCGAAACATAACATGTAAAAATTAATGCTTAAAAATACTTTTTTTAAAGAATATAGTATTGTCATCAGTATGACATAAGTATACCAAGTTTGCAGTCGATACCACATTGGGAAGTGGGTTAAAATTGAGTTACAAGATTTGAGGATACGACAACAACAATAACAGACAGAGTGAGTTAAATAAAATCGTGTAAAAAGTTTAATCGTTGAGTTTTAATAGTGTAGAGTATTCGGCTGCTATAAATTTCCACTTTGATAAGCCACTTCGTTGAGCATATCATTTGTGGCTTCCGCAAAAGAACTGTACGGCTCAGTGGGCCTTACCTGGTAAAATAAAAAATATATAACAAACAATAGTGATAATTGGCACCTTTTGACGTCATCTGGTCCAACACCATGTGAGACTAGGCTCTAAGAAAAGCTGTCTCGGGTGTGGACCAATCAATTTCAAGGACAGTGCATACATTATCATACATTATCAGAGTTGTGTTTGCATTCCGACCGCAGGTATTGTGGTCAATGCAAACACGACTCCTTGTAAAAAAAGGTGTCAGTTTTGTTGCCAGATAAAAGGGTAAAAAAAACAACGATCATATTTTGCTACTGGGCAAAGGGGGTTCCAGTGGTGTAAAAAATAGTGAGTTAGTTTAGAGAGTCGTTCCACCACGCTTCACCACGCTGCTCAGAGCGCGGTCGGTGAAGGAGTTTGTGAAGGTGACGATGCCCAGGAATCAAAATTAGTCGTTCTCATGAAGGGAGAAACGACCGTACGGGGAGAGTGCTGTTTTTTCCGTGCCCTGCTCACACGCTGACACGCCTCACAGATCACTGGGTTCATGGATTCGTGCCCTCCACCCCTCTCCGAACTCTACAGAATAAAAGTCCTCGCCCGCGCTTACAGCCAGGCTGGCTCGCCAGTAACAACCACCCAGAATCCCACCGATGCCAATTTATACCTTTTATCAGCAAAATAAATTATTCCAAAAATGTAACACGAGTTTCTATCGATCTGCTAACCCATCACAAGTCCACGTTGGCATTCTAAGCAGCGGCAGCAGCAGCTGCAGCACCGTTTTACAAACCACACAGAGCAAACCAGTTACTGCTGGAATAGTGGCCACAGCCAACATTCGCAATTGCTAAACATGTGCCAATCCACTACTGGATGGATGAAGACCTCCCCTCCCCCCGTGCCAAGTCGGCCGTGGGTGGGGTTTGTTTTGCCATACCTCTTCACATTTCTCTGCCCACTTCCCCACGTGTAAGGCAGCAGTTGGAAATACATCCTCTGGGTCTTGTTTACGTGGCAGCCGACAGGCAAGAAAATGCTGCAGTGACCCATAAAGTTATCGGCAGCATTCCTCCGTCGGCCATTTGGCCTGCGGAGATAAATCAAGAGACCTGGCACTGAGCACATTTTCTGTATTCAAAGGACCCTATTTTTTTTACACGGGGCTATATATAGACACGGGGGAGCTTGGCTCAAGGCTATACTGTATCGACATGCTTTATGAATG